ACCATATAGGATACGGCGAGGTACCTTTCGAAAATGAGCTCAGTACCAACTCCACCAGAAACAGGTCAAGGACAGGCATGCATGCACACAGCACCATATTCATGTGCAGTTTGGAGAAGTCCTTTACAAAGCCAGCCTCGGTGAAATGTCACAGACAAAACACCTCTGCAACGCACGATGATGGGCGTGACACTCAATGTGGCTAAAGGCCCTGGATCACACTTCACTTTAGCTGTTGTGTTAGGCTGGCTACGAGGTATCGATTTTCTTGTTTTCCTATTATCAGAGGGCTCTTGCTAGAAAACACTGTTGGGTTGGCGATAAATAGAAATCATGAAGACAACAAATAAGCAAAACACGTACTTGGTTCACTGGACCCACGGCACAGAGCTGCTGAACTAGGCTGTAAACCCAGTGCTATCAACTGAGTGGCTAAGGTTCCAGACAGGGAACAGTTCGAAATCCCCAGTCAAAGGACTAAATTGTTCTGGGGACTTTTCAGGGTCCTTTATCTCACAACAGACCACAGAGGGCAGCAGATATGGGGGCAAAAGTGAGGAGGCTCCAAAACAAGCAAGGTGGCACTCACTAAACCCAGTCATTCAGCAGCCCATGCAGAGAACCCCTCAACAGAGACCACCACACATGCCCACAGAACAGGATCTTTGACCCTGAACAGGTATGTTCTTACAGTGTTCCTCAAGGGCTCAGCTGAGCAACCCCAGGAGCAAAGATCTGCCCTTTTAGTCATACAAGGGAGAGCTACTTACCCCTCATAGAACTCAACCACTATATGGTTGTTTGAATGACAATGGCCCCCAAAGACTCATATATTTGGATGTTTGGTTTCTAGTTAGTAGGCTGCTTCAGAAAGATTAGGAGGTGTGGACTTGTTGGAAGAAGTGTGTCTCTGCGAGTAGGCTTTGAGGTTTCAAAAGCACACACCAATCCCAGTACGTTCTCTGCTGCAGACATGGATGCACGCTCCCAGCCAGTGCTCCAGCACCTTGTCTGCCCCACCATGATGTCATGGCCTAACCCTCTGAAACTGTACACAGGCCCCCGTTAAATGCTTTCTTTTCTAAGGTGCCTTGGTCATGGTGTCTCTTTTGCAAGCACAGAACAGTAGCTAAGACACAGAGCTCACTTGTCTCATGAGTACAGCCTCAGCACCGAATCTTTGGATTGCTCCAGGAATTCCCGAGATCAGAGACTTCGAGTCCTTTGTGACTGAAGGATGCTCTCCAGGACAGCATCCTGCATAGAACGGCTGAGAGCGGTATTTTTCGTACTTTGCAGTGTCTGCGTGTGCATAATGAGATGTGCTGGGGATGAGATCCAGAACATGAGAATTCGTGTGGATTTCCTACATGAAGAGCCTGAGGGTAACCTAACATGCTTTTAGTGCACATGTGCTTCGCCTGTGAGCTGTCTCGGGATGGCCGGTATGAAATTTTCCTCTTCGAGCCCACGTCAGCAATCAAGAGGCTTCCGCTTTGGTGTATTTAGGATTCTGTATTTTCAGATTAGGGGCACTCAAACCACACTTCAAAAACTAACCCTGACTATCATTTTTAAACTTTAAAATGAGTAGGGGAGACATAAAGGATGCTGTCATGTTGGGAGCAGTGAGACCCCAGATCCTGAATTTCTTATAATCCCCTGATCTGAGTGCCTACAGCTGCTCTGAACACGAGACCTTCAGGAGTTCCTGATGGCAGGAGAGTGGTTTCTGGTGGATTTTGCGGGGGCGTGGCTATCTCTATATAATCTGCCCCTGAACACAATAAAGGGGACAACCCTGTTCGTTTACCCCTCTTTCTCGGTTGACTTCCACTTGCTGCCAAACCGAGCGAAGCTTGGACGTCAGGATTAACACATATACCCCAATCCACCCTCACCTTCTGAGGGCGACCTCTCAGCGTTCCCTATTTCCCGTTATCTCGGCTGGGACCTCCAATTGTTGATATCTCGGTGGAGACCTCCAAATGCCACGCACCACGCCCCCGTGTCTGTGCTCTGTGTGCTGGCACCCAGTTACCGAGCTTCGGGGCAAGGGGTTGGAGGTTCAAATACACAGACACACACAGACAGAGAGACAGCGCCCAAATTCCCTAAAAGATAATTTAAATGGAGTCCCTTCAGTGGTTGCAGAGCAGCAAGCCTGCTTTCCTGAGTTCCGCTCCACTCCATGCACCAGTTTGGACCCAGAGCGAATGCAGCTGGGGCTAGTAGGCAGCTGGAGCAGAGCTTCGCTAGGTGACTGTGGTGGAAGGCACATTGCCTCAGCCCAGTCGCTGCCTAGCCTGGAAGATGCCACAGCAGTGCCAAGAGTATCAACAAATGCAACAATACAGGTTCAGTCAAAGTGACCAAAAGGCTGTGTGGTCAGGAGGGTCTTCTGTTTTATAAAAAATTTAGGGGGGAGATGTTGGGAGCAGTGAGACCCCAGATCCTGAATTTCTTATAATCCCCTGATCTGAGTGCCTACAGCTGCTCTGAGCACGAGACCTTCAGGAGTTCCTGATGGCAGGAGAGTGGTTTCTGGTGGGTTTGGCTGGGGCGTGGCTATCTCTGTATAATCTGCCCCTGAACACAATAAAGGGGGCATTCTTGGGGAATTCAAGGATGACCCGTGTTGCTGTCTCTCTGTTTGTGTGTGTCTGTGTATTTTAACCTCCAGCCCCATTGCCTGAAGCTCGCGAACTGGGTGCCAGCGAAAAGAGCGCAGACTGTCATGTCCCTCCAGCTAAAGACCTCCACAGTTTGCTTCTCTGACTGAAATGTACCACCTTGTTGAAATGCAAATAGGATCGAATAGTATTGAGGTGCTTCCTGTGAGGACCATGTAGGCACACTTTACAGAGAAAGTCTACACAGCGGCCAGGGCTGTGGAGTCCTCTCTCTGCTGCTGCGACTTCAGCTCTAGGCAGTGCTATCCTAACCAGGGGGATGGCTCCAAGAATTGGACCAAGGACTCCGTGGCACTCTGACTGTTGTGGTCTTAGGCCAGGCACTAAGATGGTTCCTGACACTGCTTAACTGTCCCCAGGGGAGCAAAAGATTCCTTTTAGGAACACAGCTGTGACTTCAAATGAAGTATCTGAAGGATCCAGTGTCAATGCATTTTCTAGAGAATCTGGTTTCCAAGGCGATTCCATCACCAGCCGATACTCATGCCCACTTTCAGAGGTCCTTGTGTGAAATGAGCTACCCAGGGCTACGGGATATACACCTTACCCCCATGGCAGGGCCCAACAGAGTCTGCCAAAGGTGCTCAGGTCATTCATTTGTGAGGGCCTGGTCAGCCTAGAGCTAGATCCTGCTTGGCTCTCTCTTGATAGGATTCGTTTGTAAATGACTGGACAAATTAATGAACAAGTCATTATAACAACAACAACAACAAAACTAGAAACCAAAAAAACCAACCTTGTATAATCATTAGCTAGCTCTCAGGAGTTTTTCCAAAGTCTTGGCTAAGAGCATTGCCTTCAGGACACCTTGGTCTTAGAGACTAAGACACCTGTTTCTCCTTTCAACACCTTTCTCTGTCTCCCATGATGGCCTGAGACTCTCTCACTTCTACTTGCCCTTCTAAATAGCCACCACCACCACCCATTCGCCCATTTGCATGCCTTCACCGCCCCCAAGACTCTAACCCAAAGGACTAGGGAATTTCATTTAACTTAGCATCTGCTTATCATGAAGCAAAAAAAGAGAAAAACACCAGGTCTTCTCACTCCGCCACCAGGTTCCAAGCTAATTTTCTCTTGGCAGACCTTTGACGGGGAGGCCACTTATGACAACAAAACACAGCTTGTCCCAAGCTCCGTACAACCCACATCCATCCCTGCGGTGCCATCGTTGCTGTTGGGGACAAGCCCATGCTCTGAGAATGAATGAATAAAAATGTGGGCATTTTGGCCTAAAGCCCAGACCAGGGCGCAGAACCCCTGCCCCCAACATTCACTAGTACAATAGCACTTTATATCCCACAGCACCCCCCCCCATGAAGGCAGAACTGCTGTGAATGACAGGCGCACCCCCAAAGTGAAGTCAGCTGGTACTTATTAACTTAGCAAGAACAAAAGGGCACCAAGATGTGTGGGAAATCTCACAGCAAGTCAATGTGATTTACATTCCAAACATAAGCGTTCACTGTGTGTATGTGTGCACGTGTGTGTGTGTTCAATTCAATATGTATTAACTAAATATTCAAACTCACAAGATCTTCTGAGAGAAAAATGAGGCTTTACAAACCATGAAAGCAGTGCGTATAAAGGGCCAAGAAGAAATTCTTTTATACAGATGCAGTAATTACATCGACTTGCGGTGAAATTTTTTTTTCTATTTGGGGGGTTGGGACGGTGTTTTTCTCAAATGGGTTCATTAGACTACATACTTGCTTCAATGTGGCTTAAATAAACCATGGCTATGCTTAGGTTCCCTTGTATTATTCTCTACAACTTTATCAAATTTCAAATAATGTTTTTCAAGACAGTTCATTTTCACAGCTAAGTCCCTGTCAGGTCAAGAGAGCTTGGTAGACATTGTAGCAGGAACTGTGAGACGCACTTCTCTGCCTAGGTAGGGAAGCCCATGAACACCTGCATCCCCTGCCACCACCCTGACCAGTGCTCTGCTGGTCTGAGGAGCCACCTCAGTGAATCAGACCGTAACATGGATACTCCCCTGTCAGGAGCAGATTCAGGCGGCGGAAGACAGACTGAACCTCCCAAGGACAGAGCATGCCCTAGATCAGAGCTGCCAGTCAGTCCTCTGGTGATACGGGTTCCTGAATTTAAGGGATGGGCTTGTAAGTGACCAGAGCATCCCCAAACCGTCACAGTGACTGAACAAATTAATTTAGCTTCCATTGTGAACTGTATAACAGCTAATCCCCGCCCCCCCCATCATCCCTCCTAGGCTCCACTATCCATTGGGCAATGCCTCACTGTCCAGGGCCCTCTACCCCTTTCCTGGGGGCAGTCAAGGCCTACCTGCTCTTGGGGCCACTTTGGCCTCTCCTCTGGGGTCCTGGTCTTGGTCTTGAGTCCTCTCTGGGCGTCTCCAGGGTGTTTAGCCTCAGAGGGAAGGTTCAGCGACTTGGGCCTTGCCTCGTGCCTGCTGGACCCATGGCCGGTCTCGCTGGGTGGACAGGCCTCTGTGGAGTCCCCAGGGTCCAGCTCAGGCATGTGCTCAGGGCTAGCCTCGCTGGCACTGGTGATACTGGTCATGCTCAGGCTCATCTTGATCTCAGCCACGATCTGGTCGATGTCTTCCTCTTGATCCTCCAGGTCGCCGTCCCCACGCCTCATGCGATACGGGGAGGCACCACCTGGGTTCCCATTGGCCTCCGTAGGGTAATAGTCCTGGTAGCTCTCTTTGCTGGGACAGTAGCGGCCATCTTCTTCCTGGTCATGGACCTCCAGGGCGGATGGATCGTCCTCTGGGATAGGCAGGTGGCTGTCTGGATATTCCGGGCTGTTCTCAGCCCCGTGGCTGTGAGTATGAGGGCCCACTGAGTCCGTCCACTCCTCCACGGCTTCCTGACACTCATCAGTGTCCACGGGATGCGTGCCGTGGGCTATGTACTCCCCTCCGTTACAGTCCATGCCCTCCAGGTAGCTGTCATCCTCAGGACAGTATCGGATGTAGTAGGTAACGCCCTCCTCCTCCTCCGGGAGGCCCTCATCATAGTCCTCCTCCTCGGATGTGTTGTTCACATAGTCAGAGCTGGAGTCCCCATCAGGGCTGTGGTTGTGACACTCCTGTTCCTCGGGAGTGGGGCTCTCTGGCCGCAGAGTGGCCAACTCCAGGCCCGTGGGCACATAGCCCTCCAAAGGAAGCTCTGTGTCCTCGCTATCGGGCTCCTGGTCATGGGGGACGGGACCCGGTCTGGTCCTGTGGTCCAACATGCTGCTCGCAGTGCTCTGGCGCTTGCGGTGGGCCATGGCAGACACTCACACAGCCATTATGACCTGGAACCAGCCACTGTGGAGAGTAAGGGAGAGAGAACTGTCAGAGTCATGTGGACCATGGCCAACCCGAGATGCATGCCACTTATTATGTGACCAAACCCGAATCCCTGTATCTGGACAGCCCATTTGCTCAGAGAGCTGTGAATTTACAGCTGTTCACAGGATGTGACCATGCTGTCTGAGGGCCTCATGGGTGGGAAAGCCATGGCCAGAGGGGTCTGAGGACACAGAGGAGAAGGCAGTCCCCAGGACTCACAGACTCACTGGTTTGTTTCATTCTGGTGCTAGGGGAGAAAGCTAGGTAGGCACTCTGCTTTGAACACTATGGCATATAGGTTCACTCTTGCCCTCTGCACAAGGGCAACCCAGGTGGCCAAGTCTAAGGGTCATAAGATTGGGTTAATTGTTCTCAAAATAGAAAAAGATATAAATCTCTATAAATTCTGCAAAAAAATTATTAAAGAAATTAATTGCTAGAAACTTTTAAATTCCTGTGAATAATCTTTTCATTGGTCTTTTTTCTTTCTTTCTTTTTTTGGCTTGTTTTGTTTTTCCAGGCAGGGTTTCTTTGTGTAGCCCTGGCTATTCTGGAACTAGTCCTGTAGACCAGGCTGGCCTTGAACTCACAGAGCTTGCCTGCCTCTGCCTCCCGAGTGCTGGGATTAAAGACATGTGCCACCAGGCATATTTACTTTGAGATATGGAACATGTTTTGTGCACAAAGCACAAATCTTGCTTTTGATTATATGAAACACTGAGAAAGTGGTTCAATGCTGAGTTAATTATCTAGTACATAGTTCCTTTTGTGAATGTTCTGCTTTTATAATACATGAATAAGGGGTAAAAGTTTCTAACAAAAAGGAAAGAAAAAAAAAACGTGTAAGTAAAATAATGAATTCAATCCATCTAACCTAGAGAGCATTGACACACAGCCTCCCTGACCCCAAACACGCTCATGATCCAATACCAGTATTCCCTACAGCTGGGGGAAATTCTCTAGCACAAAGTTAGCATCCCATTAAACAGTGAGTAACTCCGAGTGGTTTCTAAACATTAGGCTGGTGGTGAGAAGCAGGGTAGTTGCATGGCTACGCTAGCACACCATTATAAACCTGAGAGTCGTGAGGCATGAGACAGGCTGTCTGCACTAACCTTTGTGTAAGCCCAGCTTTTCCCCAACTCGCTAGTCTATGCCATTTGTTCTCCCCAGCATCAGCCCCACGCCATTTTAACCACTGTGGTTGTGAGATCTTAACACCAGATAATACAATTTTCTCCATTATTCTGCTTTTGCTTTATTAGTGTTTTCTTAAGGCTGTGAAGACAAGTGAGACGCCGGAATTTTCAAGAAGAACAAAGACTATTTTATTTACGTTGGCTTAAAACAACAATGACAAATATCAGAATGTTAAAGAAGGAAAGATAGCGTTCATATTACTGATTTTTTTTCTTTTGAGCCACATTATGATTCTAGTGGGCAGTGGTAAGGATCTGGTTTTTGTTTGTTTTTGCAAATGTTTCAATATCAAATGCAGCTGTGGCATCTGGGTATGACATCATAGCTCTAATCTGGGCCTCCTTTCAGTGACTATCAAGAGAAAAGGACCCACAGCGGCCACCTGGGAGGGGAATGATGCCCTTTCAAAAGAATCTGCAGACTCCCATTTCACCTTCTGGGCACCTTCTGTGTAAAGACGGTGTGCTCCCGCTAAAGATGGACACTACCTTGTTCAAACTCGGAAGCAAATTTTCTGGGAGACTTTGAGCAAAATATTTGAGATGGTGTCCAAACTTAGGAAACTGAAATGTCCTATCTGCCCGCAGGTCTTGAAGAAGTTACATAGGAGAGTTTTATTAGTATACTTTCTGCTACTGCAACAAAGGACCTGAGGCTGGGGAGCGTTATACAAGAAAGTGATTTGTTTACATCGGTTCTGGAGATTTCGAGACCAAGACACCAGCATCAATTCAGTTCTAGTAAAAGCCTAAGAGTAGATGGCATAGGTGTGGTGGAGTTGATCAAAAGGGAGGGGACACTAACCAGAGAGCCAATGAGCACGCCAAGGACCAACTAGGTGATGTAATAATTCTCTCTCTCAATAGGTAACTCGGGATCTCCTAAGAGCTACCTTAATCCCCACTGAGAACAGCACTCCCAGTGACTCAAGGGTCTTCCTCTACCCCCATCTCTTAACGACTCCATCACCCCTTCTATGATCACACAGGATCTAACTTCCAACATATCGACCTCCCAGGCAACATGCTATATTCAAACCACAGCAGAGTAGCCAATTCACGTCTGAACTCGATAAATAGGGAGTTAAGGGAAGCTCTGAATGGATGTTCAGGGAGATGATGCACGGTCAGAATTGTGTCTCACGTGGCTCTACCAGCACAGGAGGAGAGTGGTTGTGGCAGGGACACTGAGCCTAACGTACATCTCTTCAACGGAACACGAGGGCATCTAGACAGCAGTGCACATAGGAGAGGGGGCATGGCAGAAAGCAAAGGGCTGCTTCCCAACAAAGTGTTATGCTCACTCTGAAGGCACATGTCAACTTGGGGATCTGCATGCTCGTGGCATGTTCTGGGTGGGCATGCCAAGCCTAGCCTGGAGCTGCGAGTGCTTCAGAGACAAGCCGACCCAGGACCTTGAACAGTAGGTCTCTGGGGACTCCCTACTCTCTGTGAGATGGGTTTGACCTCTTTACCAAGCAATAGAGTACCTCTGTCTATACGCCCCACCCCATTCATGGGGCACAGGGAAAGGGGGAGCTCCTGTAGACTGTGTCCAGCTTATAGGTGGCTCCCACTGTCACCAGCATGGCAAGGAGTGAATAGTCTGGCAAAGTGGGGCCATTTGGAGAAGAGCAGACAACTCCCATACCAGAGGACAAGGTGTGGCCAAGGAGCAGAGAGGCAACAAATGTGTGCAGAGATGTTTGCAGAACAATGACTCCTGAGAAGGAAACAGCTCAGCTAGCTTTCTCATGCCTGTATCTCCGATGAAATGCTTATGTGTTATTGATGTTTAGAAGTAAATTTGTAGACATAACCGACTGGATTAGATGCAGTTATGAGGGTGGAACCCCACATGATGTTATTAATATCTTCTAAAAATTATTTATTTTATCTTTTTTGAGATTGTAATCCAATTACATAATTTCTCCCTTTACTTTCCTCTCTTTAAAGAATTCCATATACCCTTTACTCTCTTTCAAATTCATAGCCTCTTTTTTATAATAGTTTTTTTATATGTGTGTTCATATATATATTACATATATACACACACGTATATATTCCTAAGCACATACACTGTAACCTGCTCAGTCTGTACAATGCTACTTGTACATTACTAGTAGCCTTTAAGAAGACACGTGAGCTCACATATTCCTCTGTCCCCTTTTAATACTCCACCGTGCTACACCCTCATCAGGGACCAGTCCCCTGCTCTTAGACTTCCCAGCTTCCAGAACAACAGCCAAATGAAATTCTGGTCTCCATAAGTCATTCCTTCTGTGGTCTACAGTCACGGAACAGACATGAAAACAACATCGTGGGATGTTCAGGCAGTGCGCATTCCAACAAGGTCTCAACACATCACATGTGGCATGGGAATACTTTACAGCCGGATGATAAAGGTTGCTGTTTGTCTACACCTCATCTTCAAGGAGACTTTTTCAGGCGGCCCCTTGATGCCTAGGGGAAGCGCCCACAGAATCGCAAAATGCCGCCTGCTTGGCTGCCATCATCGGTGAACTTGGGCAACAACTGGTGGACAGATTTCAATTGCTTAACTACATAGCACGTGTAGGGGCGCAGCTACTGTGGGAGGACAGCTGCCCTGTGGAAGGCCTCAAAGAGCTTCTCTCCCTTCACTGGGAGAGAGCCAGAGGTGTGAGCAATCCGGCACGCTGTCTGCTACAATGATGTGGGCAGAGTTTTATACCGAGGGGGTGACTGCTTCTGAGGGCTCATTACTTTCTGGTGATGAAAAGGGTGACCCACTGCCCTGTGCAGTTAACAAGAAAGGGGAGTGTCAAGTGATCCAGCCAAAGACAGCTGCTGCAGGCTCTGTGGTGTATTCTTTTCTGTTCTTTATTCAGCCCATTCCTTCACACAGCTAAGAACTTACTGGAAACGCAGTTCTGTGTTCTCTTCCTTTCTTATAGCGTGTTTTACACTTTTATATTTATTTGTGTGTATGTGTGTGGGTGTGTGGTGGGGGTGCAGGTGCCTGCAGAGGCCAGAAGAGGACATCTGATCCCCTGGAGCTGGAACTGCAGCTGGTTAAGAGCGACTCAAGATGGGCACTAGGAGCCAAACTCGGGTCCTCTGCAAGAGCAAGTGTTCTTATGCGCTGAGCCATCTCTTCAGCCCTTCCTCTTTTATTTTAACATAACACTATAAGCAATAAAAACTCACCGTGAGTTTCATTTTAATAGTTGCTAGAGAAGTAGATGATCTGCTATAGACCATATGGTTGAGTCTCCTAGAAGTCCCTATGTTGAAATCCTAACCCCTAAAAGGTCGACATTAGGTGGAGATGTGAGGTCATGCCAGAAAATTTGAGCCTTCTGAGCCTTATAAAAGAGGCTCAAGAGACCCGCCTTTCTCTTCCACCATGTAAGAGCCTAGTGCAAAGGAACCATCTATGAATCACAGGAGAATCCCAGCAAATAGCAAGGCTCCAGCATTTTGGCCTTAGACACCACCCCCCACAGCCTGAGCCACGCCCATCTGCAGTATTTTTGTTTGAGTGGCTTCTACTGATACAGAACCCATCCCCCTACTGAATGCAGTGTCTTGCTCTTGCATAAGTGATGCTGTAAGGCTCCCGAAAGATATGACAGAAGCCATTCCCCCACCCCAGGGCCTCTGTTCAGAGCACCTCAAAACCCTTGTTGCATTTCGTGGCCCACATCCTCAGATGAACACAGGCAGGCATGTGGCCAGGAAACAGTTAACTGCCTACCAATCGGGGTCCAGAGGCTTCTATTGCAGAGCATGTAC